GACGTTTTGGGCCTCGACCCTTCTTCAGAAAAAACACGAAAGGCCCAAAACGTCAGCCTTCCTGCTCCTCTGATGCTGCTTGGCCTGCTGTGTTCATCCAGCTCTACACCTTGTTATCTCAGATTCTCCAGCATCTGCAGTTCCTACTACTTCTGCTGAACTGACATGTTTATGGAATTTGCCTGAATTCCTTCCAAGTGAGAAACTAGATTTGTTTCTAAATTCTACCCTGGTATCTTCTGTATCATGGTCCTGGATTCCTTTGAATAGAAAACAAAATTACTGGCCTAACATGTTTACCCCACCTGTGTAAACCCAGCAGGAGAAACGATTTTTCCATTTATAGCAAAAGGGCTGCTGTCATTAGATTTATGACAAATGCTGGATTTATTCACTGTTCTGGAAGGATTCTCTGACCTTGTGTTTTTTTTTTCAGAAAACTTTTCACAGAAGTAACCGACATCCATCTGGCTCTATTTTGAAATCCAAATTACAAAAATTATATTAATGTGTATGAATTATGTGTCCTTCAACGCAATATAACTCACAAAATTAGATGATAATAATGTGAGCTGATGATTTGAGCTGTCATGGAAGCAATTTAATTTTATCCTTCATATTTGTTTATTAGGGTACAATAGCCAATTCATTAACATGCCTTCAGCTACATAAACGAGCTGAGAAAATAGCAGTTATGTTGATGGAGAGGGGCCACCTACAGGATGGAGATCATGTGGCTTTAGTTTATCCACCAGGTATGTTAATGGTGTAATCATTTTTCTTTTACTTCCAAATTCTTCATTCTCTCTTTTCAAACAAGTTGCAACAATTAAAACATACTTTTAATCAGAAGATGAATGTTAATTGTGATTCTGACATTTCAGCAACTGAAAAGCTAAGGATTAAAGGAAATGGGCATAATTAATCTAAGCTTGGCATATTAAAGTGATTACATGCCTTTTAAAGAAAATCTGATGACTTGGTTTGTTGTAAAACTTCTGCTGTAACACGGTGTTTTGCAATTTAAGGGTCAGACACTATGATGAGGAATGTTTTTTCTTTTTATACAGGAATAGACTTAATTGCAGCATTTTATGGATGCCTGTATGCAGGTTGTGTGCCAATAACTGTCCGTCCTCCACACCCTCAGAATATTGCTACCACGTTACCCACGGTGAAGATGATTGTGGAGGTAGGGCAGGATTTAACTTTATAGTATTTTCTGTGTTTAAATTTTCATCCAATTATCCCTTTATTTGAACAAATTAACAATCTTTATTCTGGCTTCTTTTCAAGTCATATGACACATTTTGATTACCGGTACTTCATATTTTATATTACTACTATACTTCGTACAGTACTTTGAAATAATAAGATGCTTCAAATAAAGTTAAATCAGCTAAAATCAGAAACAATCTTTTATTGAACTATGGAACCTAAATTAATTGTAATGTAGTTCCCAAGTTTTATCTAACTTCAGTGGAAAATGATTTGGGTGAAGTGGTGCTGATATGGTTGGAGACTGCGTCAATCATAAAATTCCTATTAAAAACGTTAACCTTGCTTGTGAGGTCCAGATCAGATATTCTGTTACTTGTAAAGGGATACACCAGCATATATCAAGTATACATGATCAATTCACTGCATTTGTTTACTCCCCTCATTTTGTTAAAATATGATACATAGTAAGTAGAAAGTAACATTCATGCGACATTACAGCCACATAATTACCATCTCAATCAAACACAAATCTAACCCACACCGCTTGACATTTAATGACATTACTGAATCCCCCATTGTTAATATCATGAGAGTTACCAATGACCAGAAACTGAACTGTAAAAGAAGTATAAATGCTTTGGCCACAAGAACAGGTCAGGGTGGGAATTCTGCAGTGACAAACTGTCCAAAGCTTGTCCACTGTCTGCAGTGCACAGGCCAAGAGTGTGAAGGAATATTGTCCAATGATGTGGAATAGTGCAGCTTCAACAGCAGTGAAAGTTCAACACTGTCCAATCTGCTTGATTGGCACCATATCCACTACCTTCCACATGCACTCCTTTCACCACTAGTGGGGGTAAATTTAACTTATGGTTGCTTTTACCATTCTAAGTCCAGTGAGGTATTGTTTGATTCAATCCTTTCCCTTACTTAGATAGGTTGAACGCTAGTATCCAAAACCCATTTTCCAATTCTAATTTTGGAAATAAACCCACAGCAAAAACCTTTACAATAAAATCAGAGATAGGGCTTATTAACTAAACGTTTGAACATAGAATTGATTCGCTGCTGTATGCATGTCTTAGGGAAGATAGATCGTGGAGCCAGAATTCAGGGTTGCGATCGATTTGTGCAGCCACCGTGCTTGGAATGTCAGAGTGCAGCCGCACAGCTTAGAGGGAACATTAAAAGAGGATAGAAGAGGAGATAGGTTTGTGTGAGTGGAGAATTAGCCTGAGCGTGACAAAGACAAGTCACAGAGGCATACAGAAACAGACCCTTCAGTCCAACTCGTCCATGCAGACCACATTCCCTAAACTGACCCATTCCTGTTTTCCTGTGTTTTTTTTTCTTCTTTATTCATTTGGGGGATGAGGGTGTCGCTGGCTAGGCAGAATTTATTGCCCACCCCTAATTGCCCAGAGGGCGGTTCAGAGTCAACCACATTGCTGTGGGCCTGGAGTCACATGTAGGCCAGACCAGGTAAGGATGGCAGTTTCCTTCCCTCAAGGACATTAGTGAACCAGATTGGTTTTACCAGACATCGATTCACAGTCATCGTTAGATTCTTAATTCCAGATTTTTTTGATGAATTCAAATTCTGCCATCGCGGGATTCGCAATCAGGTCCCCAGAATGTTAGCTGGGTCTCTGGATTAACAGTCCAGCGATAATACCACTAGGCCATTGCCTCCCAGTATGGGAGTCCAGTTGTACCAATTGACCCATATACCTCTAAACCTTTCCTATCCATGAACCCGTCCAAATGTCCTTTCAATGTTGTAATTGTACTCGCCTCTACCACATTCTCTGGCAGTTCATTCATACACACACCACCCTCTGTGTGAAAGTATTGCTGCTCGGTTTAAATCTTTCCCCTCTCACCTTAAACCTGTGCCCTCTGTGGACTCCCTGACCCTTGGAAAAAGAATTTGGCTATTCACCTTAACGAGTGTATCTGGGAATTTGGTTTAAAATGGGAATTTGGAGCACAGTGGCAAAGAAGTGCTTTAATTAAGGTTTAGTCTTGAGTAAAGGGTGAGCAAAGGATAGAAAGCAAGGATTGACAGGCCGACCTGCAGTGAGGCCAGTGGTACAGTGATGTCACAAGCCCAAATATGATGTAAGTGCAGGAAAAGCAGCTTATTGGTAAGTGGGATTGGATATTTCTAGTCTTTAACAGAAAGATGTTCAATTTGTGTTAAGGCTGTAGCTTTTTTTTTATTTTTTTCAGGCAGACCTTTACCCATTCCTTTGTCTACCCAATTTCTGTTCTCTCCCTCTCTCTGGGCTCCATCTCCACCTATCTTTTATTACTCCCAGCTCTTTTTTTTTAAGCATACGCACCAACCTTTTCCTAGCTACGATCAGTTCTGAAGAAGGGTCACTGGATCCGAAACATTATTTCTGCTTTCTGTGCACAAATACTGCCAGACCTGCAGAGATTTTGCAGCAATTTCTCTTTTTATTTCTGATTTCCAGCCATCTGCAGTTCTTTGTCTTTTTTTGTCTAGGTGATCAAGGGTTATGGGGGAAAGATGGGAAAATAGTATTGAGAACAATCAGATCGACCGTGTTCTCACTGAATGGCAGAGCAGACGTGATTGTCCAAATCACCTATTTCTGCTCCTACAGTTGTGGCTTTATGGCTTACTGGTCCTCAAATTATGTAACTTACTGAATTTAATTTCACAATTTACTATGCTGGGTTTTAAACTCAGAATTTAAAGTTGCCAATCCTGTACTGAAATAATTAGCCTGTCATTACATGAGCTGGCCTACCAAATGACTTTTAATTCATAGACATGTGGGTTCCTAATAAAATAGCTGCAATGCTGAAGAACAGCTTTATTGCCAAACTGTTGCTTAGTTCCTGTCTTGGGAAATCTATTGCTGGGAGTTGTAGGACAGCGGTCGTCTGTTCAGAATACAGATCCAGATGACTTAATGGGATACAATCTTAAATGTTAATTACAATGTTAATTGCTGAAAAATGAAAATGGTCATTTGGATGCATAATAATCATGATCGTGGTTTATTCAGTGATTTGGAAATGTGGTGACTGGAAATCATCTACTTAATTGACCGTGCTTTATTTTTCACTTATGAAATTTTCTCATTTATCTCTGACCTTCAGCTTCTGTAGTAATATTAATTTGTGTCAGTCAGAGTGCCTATGTTTATTGTTAGACAGTGCTTTGGTACAATATAATATCCTTCCAATGCTTTAAGGCTGTACTTTATGGCCCATTTACACAACAGCGATGATGTCTCTGGTAGCTGCGACATTGGTCATCATGCCTGATGTGGTGGAGTTTGTACTGCTGCTTGTGGAAAAGTAGAGAATGACCTCATACTTTTAATCTCGTGTCCCAGCAGTGCAGTGGCCCCATAATGAGTAGGTAACCTGCCACCAATATTTAAAGAAAGAGAAAAACTTGTATTTGGAGTGTCATTGCTGACTTCAGGGTGTCCTAAAAGGCTTTATAACTGATTAAAAACTTAGTGTTATATTGCAGGAAAAGCACCATACAAATTGTATGTAGCATAGTTCTGTTGTGATAATGACCGGTCAAGCTGTTTTGGTGATATGCTGGGGGACAAATATTTGCCAAGAGTGCTACCGTGTTGTCTTAGTGCAGTTTGATTTTTTTGTTTCCAATTTAGAGGGTTGAAGAAGCAAGACAGAATCTCTAGCAATGAACCCTTCTGTCAGTCTAACATATAAGCCTCGACTATCCGCTCATGTCACTAGACAGCAGTCTGAATCCACAACCCTTGGAGTGGTTCCATTGAACCACAGCTCACTCATTAATCTTCCACTTAATGCCACTTTATTAATGTTATCATTTTGCTAAGTTGATGTCCATTTGTCTGGTCGGGAGAAACAGTGCTACCAGTTAATCTGGGTTGAGAGCACAGCTTATGGATAAAAGACAGTATGCACTCTTCAGCGTGCTGATTTCTGTGAAACGTAGGCCTACTCCTGCTCCTGTTTTCTATCAGCCCTTCAAGCTTGCTCTATGGTTCAATATTATCAGGGATTATCATCCAACTCCATTCCCTGTTCCTGCTTTCTCCCCATACCCTTTGATCCCTTCAAACCTTCTTGAAAGCCTTCAATGTTTTGGCCTCAACTGCTTTCTGTGGCAGATAATTCTACAGGCACACCACGCTAATGGTGAAGAAGTTTCCCTTAATTTCACTCCACAATGGCCTACCCTGTAATATATATTGTGAATAACGGGTACGACCACTGACCCCTGCAGTAAGTAGCCCATTGGTCACTGGCTCTTGGAAAATGATCCATTTGTTCCTACTCTTTGTTCTATGGGCTGACCTGGTAGACAGGAATGTTTTTCCAGCCGCTAGAGAACACCTCCAGCACCAAAACCACAATTTGGAACTTTGAGACGAACTGTGCACGCAAGTTAGCATTATATAATTTCTCTGTTGCAAAGTAAATGAGATGGCTTTCACCGCATGGATGGGGTCCAACAGTCGGCCTGCCATTAGAATAAAAGGGATGTAATAGATTCCCTCAAAATATGCTTTCAAACTGCCAGATAGATAACAACACTTTATAATGCACTTGCCTTGGAAAACCCAGAATTTATTGTACCATGTATGCAAAGATCACTATGTATTAGAGATCACGGAATCCTTACAGTGCAGAAAGAGGCCATTCAGCCCATGAAGTCTGCATCGACCCTCCAAAGAACATTTCCGCCCAGACCCAACCCCGCTACCCTCTGAATGTAACCCTGCATTTCCCACAGCTAATCTACCTACCTGGACACTATGGACAATTTAGTATGTCCAGATAATGTCAGATAATTCCATAAAATTAATACAATTATAACAAGTGCAAAGATTAAGGAGCAAAATCAGAATTTGCTAGAGAAACTCAGCAGGTCTGGCAGAGAAAGCAGAGTTAATGTTTCAGATTCTATGAAACTTCTTCAGAACTGGGCTTTTTTGTCAAAAATAAAGGCAAAAAAGGGAATGAGGAATTAGCAGATATTTATTTTGTGTCTCTATTCATAGAATCACTACAGTGTAGAAGCAGGCCCATTAAGGTCCACACTGACCCTCTGAAGAGCATCCCACCCAGATCCAAACCCCCACCCTATCCCTGTAACCCTGCATTTCCCATGGCCAATCCACCTAACCTGCACATGTTTGGACTGAGAGGAAACCAGAGCACCCGGAGGAAGTGCACAGACAGGGAGAGAATGTGCAAACTCTACTCATACAATCACCCGAGGCTGGAATCAAACCCGGGTCCCTGGTGTTGTGCGGCAGCAATGCTAACCACTGAGCCACCCCAGTGACACAAAAGGTTGCAGTTATTCACCTCATGGAAAAAAAATACAAGACATTTTATTTGTTAAACCGTACAGTGTAAGTCTTAATGCTTAATAACCTGTTACTCTGCTTAGAAACCCCAATCCTTAATGAGGTATTTTGCAGCAAAATGTGTATGTATGGCAATTATGCTGACTTTGAGGCAATTAAATCATGTTATGGTGCTTTGTGCACATTTTCATACAGTTTCACCATAGCAACCTACACAAAGAAATACATGTCGAATATCAAAAAGATGAGACTGAGGTTGTGCCAAAGGCTATTTGTGATTTGCAATTCAAAGCCATACACGTTATCCTGGCACCTGTTGGTCCTGTTGATGGAATTTGTTGCCTAATTTGAATCTTTTTGATCTCTCCGAAAACACTGTGTTGCCATACCTCAAACTGAAATTACTTAAACTCGAATCTTTTGATTAATCAGCATTTAGACTCCATAGTTCAAAAGTTTGGCAAAGATTGCCAGCATCCTTGCACTTCTCCTGTGGCCATGATGTGGAGGTTCTGGTGTTGGACTGGGGTGGACAAGGTCAAAAATGACACGACACCAGGTTCTCATCTAACAGGTTTATTTGAAAACACAAGCTTTCAGAGCCTCAGTATTAATTTATTTGTTTAAAATCACCAAAGCTATATTGTGCAGAGTATAGGCATTTTCGTTTATTTTGCTTTTTAACCAAAAATAAAAAAAAATTTCCACTTGTAATCATTTTGTTGGTTCTGTATATTTGATATATCTATGCATATGTATTTATTTTTATTTAGTATATATATGTGTGTTTGTATTCACTCATTTTATCATGCATGGGATGATGACTTCATTGTAGACCTATCATAATTTAATGATGGGGTTTGTAATTTACTGTAAAAGTGAACATAAAGTTATTGCATTGCAATTAAGTATCCAATTGGATCATAAATGTGGTGTAAGGAAGGTAAACTGACCACCTTACCAAACTGGACCTATGTGATTCCAGACTCCCACACAAATGCAATTAATTTTCAACTGCCCTCTGAAGCTACTCAGTGCAAATTGCAAAAATTGAGTAAACTGGGGATGGATTGAATTCTCCCCTTACCAGCAATGCCTATGTCCTGAGAGACGATTTATTTATGTAAAAACATTACATTTTACATTTTATCCCTTTCCAAATCTTCATTGCAAATAAACACGCAATTGTTGGATTAAATCGATTTGGTCTTTCATATGTGCATTGCTTAACTAATAGATTCATTATTTTGCAGGTCAGCAGATCAGCATGTATAATGACATCGCAATTGGTAGTAAAACTTCTAAGGTCACGAGAAGCAGGAGCAGCAGTTGACATAAGAACATGGCCTCCTGTTTTAGACACAGGTAGGAAATGTGGACTCAGAAACTAAGTGCAAGAGGCAGTATTGCACTCTGTTCCATCCTTGGTAGGTCATTTTCAAAGAAAAATATCCAGTTTTGTAGGCTTCCATCATGTTGCATAAATATTCAGTGATGCATTTTTAAAATCTCTTGGTAAAGTGACGATGCTGCAGTACAAATGCTGCATTAAATCAAATATTTATGAATCAAATGGAACTTTCCTTGTTGGAACCTAATGTACTGGAATGCTGATGTTATTTTACATTGTCCAATCACTCATATGTTACAATTAAACATGTGCAAACAAATGCCCTGTAAAGGTGTTAAATCATTTGAGAAAATATCAAGACAATATACTATAGACATGTACAAGATATGAAACAATCTCACATTAAATTGAACATTTTACATTTTGGTTCAGGTATTTGAAAAACAAAAGTGATGGCCAAGGTATTTTGCAATAGCAATTTTTAAAAAAAGTTTCAATTATTTAAATCAACTTGGGAAAATGTGTTTATGGGACAGATGTCAACTTTGCAACACACCGCCATATGCCTTTCTTTGCCATATTTTATCAGAGCTCATTTTAGTTTAAATAATTAGAGTTTAAAAAGGGAATGGCAGTTTTTAATAGACTGAGAAGGTTATTTAATGGTTCATTGTGTAAGCCTAAGCTTCACAAAATAGGGGTTGTGAGTCGAAGAGCAGATACAGGCTAAAATTCTGTTGGCGTGAGCTCCAGAGCAGGTTTGGCCAAAGTGGAGCTCCGACTGAGTGGTGCTCAGATTATAACAGGCCCCACCCCTGCAGCAGACTCTGCTCCATCCCCACATCCTTATTTCCCCTGGATTTCCTTCCCACTTTCACATTGACTTTTCATGACAATTTTCAAGCCTTGAAATGGGGCTCACAGTCAGAAAGAATTGGGAAACTTTGGTGTAAAATGTTTAAAGTCATGAAATAATCTTGCACTTTATACGTTTATATGTGCAACATTTATATCTTGACATCCGTAGCAACTATAGCAATATAACAAAAAGATTACTGTAGATCGCAGGATAAGATGATCCAAATTTTTTCAGCACTCATCTTTAGGCCTGTACTTGGCACGGTGGTTCAGTGCTGCCAGGGGACCAGGTTCAATTCCACCCTCGGGCAACTTTCTGTGTGGAGTTTGCACATTCCCCCCGTGTCTGTGTGGGCTTCCTCTGGGTGCTCTTGTTTCCTCCCACAGTCCAAAGATGTGCAGGTTAAGTCGATTGGCCATGGGAAATTGCCCACGGTATCCAGAGATGTGCGGGCTAGGTGTATTAGCTGTGGGGAATAAGGTAGGGGTGTGGGTCTGGGTTGGTTGCTCTTAAGAGGGTCAGTGTGGACTTGACGAGCCAAATGACCTGCTTTCACACTAGGGATTCGATGTTTCTATGAAGTCCATCCTCCTCCTCTGCTAATAGGTGCTATACTTGTACTTTGGAGTCTCCCGTAATTTTCACCTCAGAAATGCATGCTTCAGTAATCTTTACAATTGGCAAGTGCAGTCAAGCCAGCATCTGTATATGGTGATGAATGAAGAGACGTGGGCCTTCCAGCAAAAAGAATCAAGTGCAAAACTGCTTTTGAGCTAAACGTTGTGACATTTGCTGACTTGTCAATTATTAGTTTTTCTGCAGTAAGGGAATTCAGTGTTGGTGAAAAGGGTGTGAGAGTGAAAGAAGAAGGAATCCACCATGAAGGAGCTGCCCAAGACCAAATGAGCTACAAGAACTGGACTGACCTTGAGATTGTATTGGTCCTTGAAAATAATCAGAATGGTTACATCACCAGCAGAAATCCAATACATATATTTGCACTTAGGTGGGCCCAATCAAGCTCTGAAACAATCAAAGATTTCGGAGCAATACCTAGTTGGTGTAACCACATTAGAGTCGTAGAATTCCTACAGTGTGGAATCAGGCCATTTGGCCCATCAAGTGCATACCAGCCCTCTGAAGAGTATCTCGCCTAGGCCCACCCCACCACCCTATCTCTGTAAGCCCGAATTTCCCATGGCTAATTCGCCTAGCCTGCACTACCCTGGACACTATGGGCAATTTAGCATGGCCAATCCACCCAAACTGCACATCTTTGGACTGTGGGAGGAAACCGGAGCACATACGGGAAGAAAATGCAAACTCCACATAAACAGTCATTCAAGGGTGGAATCAAACCAGGTTCCCTGGCGCTCTGAGGCAGCAGTGCTAACCACAGTGCCACCGTATGAAACTGAAAGACCATGATTGCTCAAAGACTACCAGAAGATCTCTGCGAAAGCTAACAGTTGCCAGTGATTCATCAATTGATACTTGCAAAAACCCATTGTTTCATGTTGGCAACATGAATGAAATGTGCAGGAATTTCAGTTTGCCCAGCCTTTGAACTGTGGAAGGGAAAAGTTGGAAAGTTATTCTAGTATAAACCACAGGCTACAAGAACTCTACATGCACAGTGTTACTAGCCTGAATGGCCTATAGAGCAAAACTTCCATGCTAAAAGATAACAAGGTGTGGAGCTGGATGAACACAGCAGGCCAAGCAGCATCAGAGGAGCAGGAAAGCTGACATTTTGGGTCTGGACCCTTCTTCAGAAAATGAAGA